ACACACACACACTGCAGTAAATCAGTGGCACCTGTAGATTTGTGTTGTTTGTGTGTCTCACCTGTAGATTTGTGTTGTTTGTGTGTCTCACCTGTAGATTTGTGTTGTTTGTGTGTCTCACCTGTAGATTTGTGTTGTTTGTGTGTCTCACCTGTGCAGCCATCAACAGAGGGGACATCCTGGACACGGACATGGAGTCCATCATGGACACCATCGTGGACAGCCTCTTCTGTTTCTTTGTGACTCTGGGTGAGTTCACGTCAGTGTTACCTGTCGGTCCTTCACACTCACCTGTTGGGTTCAGTTGGACGTTGTGTTGTTGTTGYTGTTGTTTAGGTGCAGTGCCCATCATCCGCTGCCCTCGAGGAAAYGCTGCAGAGATGGTTGCTGGGGTGAGTCCCAGCTGAAGACCTGCACACAAAACACACCTGTTTATTTATAACAATGTAACACAAAGTTCTGTCATCCAGCTCCAGGTTATTAGTCTGGATGATAAATGAGAATTTAACATAATTTACTGGTTTGTTACTGGTTACTTTATGTTGAACCAACAGATATTCCTGATAAATGAATTATTATAAATCTAATATTTTACAACCAGTTCACAGAATTCACACTGTTGATTATTCAGCATGTAACTCGTTCCACAGTTTTTGTGCTATTTTAACAATTCATATCATATCAAAACGTTCAGCTCATTCATGTGACGGCTGCTATGACTTTTGRTATTTCAGCTGTTTATACTTTTTCAGCTATTTCACCTTTTTAGCCACTTTTTTGCCATTGAAAATAATTGGAGCTGTTTTCAACATCTTTAAAATAATTTAAAATGCTTTTAAATCTTTACAGCACCTTTTGTTCTGGTTCTGCTCTTTTTCACTTTCTTGTGCTAATTTTAGCTACTTTTTTGCTAATTTGAGCTTTTTTTGCTAATTTTAGCTTTTTTTTGCTATTTCATCTAAAAATCTGCTTCTTTCCGCTATAATGTTTTTTGTGCTCTTTATGCTTCTTACAGATGCTTTCTGCTGTATTCAGCTATTTGCTGCAATTTTAGCTAATGTTTAGCTGCTATTACTTAAAGTTAACTTTTCTAAGCTAAATAGTAGCTTGTGCTACTTATATTTATGTTTTCAGCTATATTCAGCTATTTTAGCTTTTAGCTGTTTTCTGTTGTTTTCATTTGTGCTCCCTTTTACTGTTTTTCTGCAAAGTTAGGCTTTTTTTACTTCTTTCCTCTGTTCAAAATGAGCTCACTTAGCTTTCAGCTTAAGTTTTCAGCATGAAGCATTCACACTAGCATTTTCACAGGAAATGCAGT